CCCGTTTTCACGCTCTCCATCCATGGTTTTATGGCAGTTAGCACAAGTATGTACTATTGATGTACAGCTGCCAGTGAGGATGAAAGAAACAGTAGTACCCTGGTAACCAGATGGTCCACCCTCAGGGTAGTTCTTTAATCTTCACTCAGTAGTACTGGCTTATCCAGTGATCTTTTTGGTATTGATTACCCATATATATATATATATATATATATATATATATATATATATCACAGTGCTTCTAGGCTTTTCAGGATCAAAACTCCCCCTTACAGAATAGCCTGAACAAGAACAAGGATGTAAGCTTACTGTGATTTTTAAAGGCATTCAGCAGCCCCTTTCTATAGCACTAGAGAGATAGTGAAAAATCGATATCCCTGCGGCTTCTGAAGATAACACCATCGCAAATATGTAGCTGTGTTGCCTGAATATAGGTTAATCACGCAAAACAAACTCGCTGAGTGGTGACTTCTCAAAATAACAGCTTGAAAAATCGCTCCGATAAAGAGGAGGTAGTCTTTGCCGTAGATCCTTCACGGCGTAAATCAACAAAAATATCTAACTGAAACTAAAACTTTCGATGTTATGTCCTCTCAAACATTTACTGGACTAGTTTCCATTGTTTGGCAAACCGCAGCTTTTGGTGCTGGAGATGTTTTTCGATTGAAGTTCCCGCTACCCAACCAAACAATCGTTTTCTATTTGCCTCGCTGTAATTCGCCAGGACCAGCCTACATGGTATACGGCTCTGAGACAGCAGTGACAGAAGACGAGAAAACGTCACAGTTCCGTTGCTCGAATAAGTCGAACCTCACAGCCGTACAACAAAACAGCCTGTACCCATTAAGCGCCGACAGGACAAATGCCAATCTCAACCCACATTGGTAGTGCGTGTAAGGTAAAAATTCACACTGCTATAAGTACACAGATGCTCTAGCCGGCCTAGGATTCTGTATTTCTAGTCCCATTCAGATGAAACAATATAGGCCCTGGTGACGCAGCTTTCATTAAGCGTCAGAAAACTTAACCCAGGCAAAAAACTAAAAAATATTTATATTGTTTTCAAATTCATACACTCGTATTCTGTTGAAACGTTCAAACATTTCTCCAAGTACTCTCATAAGTGATCTCAAATCCCTAGGTATCTCCAGTACCTCGCACTGAATATCCGTCCAAATGGAAGCGTCAGTCTTGACACTGGATTTTGCTGTTAATTAGTGGTAGATATCAGTGAAATCTTATTAGATCCACACCAGATATTAACTAAGGTTTCACGAGGATCAGAAGTATTCAGTAGACGTAACTCACACGTACGTTTGCCAGTCTACGTGGGTGACACCAAAAGACGGTGCTTCACAACCAAGTTTGAAGCAAAGGCCCTTGAAATGAACCACGCTGCGATAGGAAACAATCAAACAAGTCCATAAACTAGGTAGCACAGTCCAATGATAATCGCAACCAAGAAGTGTTCACGTCCAGTGACCTCGATCTAGAAAACAGCACCAGATCCATGACTGAAAAGCAATTCGTGGGGCCTTAATGCCAAAAAGGAAACTGCATTAATCTCAAGTTAGTGACTTTCTTACCCATTACCCAAAAAGTTTACCTCTAGAGTCTATGCAGCGTAAGGAAACTAAAAAAGTATTAAAAAAATTGAAAAACAAGCAGCACCGCTAAAAGACTTGACCAACACAGATGTCCTTTTTGTGATTGTCATGAAGCCTCAACCTTGCGCATAATTCCATTTAAAAGGCTTAAAAACTGTAAGATCAACTATCCACTCAGCACGTCTGCCTACGTCTCCGTAATTGAAGTTATTTCTGTCTGAAATGGACGCAAACAGTTTATCATAAGCTACTTTTTACTCCAGAGTATAGTAACATCTCATAATGGAAAGAGACCAGCAAGGTCGAAGACTGCGGCATTAGGTCTCACTGTTTTTGAAGTTTCTAACTTTTTACAAAAAGCCTTCGGAAGACGCCTAATGAAGATAGTGAAAAATAAAAAATGAAGAACATGGAGAGAATCAATTTTTCTCTAGTAACACAAAAATGTGCTAGCATTTCCTGTGAGTTTTTCTCCTTCCGGTGCACCCAAATGTCTGCAGGGTTTTATAGAAACTGTCGAAACATCGAGCATAGCCCATATTGACTAATGACAATAACCAGTGGTGCAACATCTCCGCTTTCTCAATGCAGACCATAAGGAAGATGCTACCTTATTAGATTGCAATAAACAACTGACGACCACAGAGGATGATTACCACTAACAAAGGTTGTGAGGAGGCATAACACTGTCCTTACACGTTAGCGAAAGCGAGGCCTTATCGCACGCTGGAAAGCAGCTCATTTTTTTCAATTTTTCCTAAAAATACAATGACACACAGGATAAACGACCATAAGTCAGCTCTTAATAAGGATCGCTGGAACGCAGTCGTAGGTTTTATTGACTACTCCGCGTTAAATCGCCGACTCAACATCTCGCATGGTTAAATACTATAGCTTCAGGCCACTCACACAGAAAAAGCGCAACAGATTTACAGAATCTTTTGACAGAAAGCGGTTAATTGTCCAACGTCTTGAAAAAAGTTACAGCCATATATCTAAGTGCTCTGACAGCTACTCAGACTGTCGATCCAACTTGTAAACTTTTCGACCTCGGTGGTGAATAACGTTGAAGTGAAGAGGGTAGAACCGTCAATCAACGTTGGAATAACTCACAATATTTTAACAGAACTATTTCGCAATAAATGCACCTGAGAGACTCGAGGAGCAGTTAGAATGGTTTGAAACGAATACGCAGGTGTTGTATCATCTGATAGTGCCAGACCGGTAAATGTTTAGCTTCTATTTGATACCACTTACGACTGTGGCTGCCAAAACTTTGGATGTCAACTTACTCTGCTATATCTTAAGTTACCCAGACAAAAACATCCACTTGTTCTTGTGCGTGGTCTCTTAGCACGTTTTAAGCAGTTCCTCCTAGCCGAGAGTTTCTTGTTTGCTATGGAAATAAAGGAAGGTAAAAACCTGTCGAGCCCCAAGACGTATTACGTGCACACTACGCAGACGGCCTCCCTATGGTAATAGCAGGTCGAATCTGTTCAGATGACCTCCGTTCTCTAAGCCTATGCATCCTCTTCAACCTAATGAAGTAACGTCAGACGTTTTCGGAGTTGCTGCATACTTCAGTGGTCATGGTCTCCGGCTTGTGTGTGGTATTCCCAACTGGACCACAGCAAAGCATTATGGACTGAGCCAAAATCTCCAAAGTTCCAGAAGATGCAGCTCGGTTGAGTTGAAAGAGCTCTCCTAATGCTTTTTCACAGCAGCCAAACACTACGTATTGGTAATATGGAGTTCATGAACCCTAGTCTGGTGTACATGGGGTATCTCACACACAGTCTCCGGTTCGCCGGTTTTTCCCGACGTACTATCCACATCGTCCCCTGAAAAATAGTGTTTCTGTAGGTTCAAAAGCAAGCTCTATCAAAGCATTTACTCATATATCCATACCAATTGTCCGACATATCTGCAAGTTAATCACGATGACATCTCGAAAACCTAGGCGTACCACTCGCTACCCTATTGCAGCTAACAGCGGTGAAAGTAGTGTAGGAAATGGTATGACGGAATGATCATCATGGTTATAGATTTTGGTTGCGTACACCACTGGCATTTCGGAAGCTTGATTTCCAGATTGTAAACGTTCCTGCAACCCGCACAACTTGGAATGTGGATCCAATCTAAGCCGTTTAAGGTATTTGCTGGGATTCGATGGAAGTAACCGAGATGCATATACCAATCAAAAGTAAGGCTGCATCTTATCGACCTACTTGTCAGAACACAGGATGACGAAGGCATGGTGGCGCTTCACACAAGGCCGAATTCTGGATATCTCTGGTAAAAGCAAGGAGATCATGGATGCCAGTGAACGAGTATTGGCTGACGAACAACCTGGCTAGAAGAAATTACAGTTACTAAGGGTGAAATCCGCACCAAAAGCTTCCGAGGGAAAATGAACACAAAAGGTAGAATTTTTACCAGTATCCAGAAACCAGCTGACTTTTTTGCCAAGCACTTCGTTGCTATATACCACCGCACACAAAAACTGGGAGGCTTTGACTGGCCCATTGGTCTGAACTCAAGAAAGGTGTTTAAGTGAGATCACGTACAGAAGCAGAACAAAGAATACCAACTCTTGATAGTATCAGAACATCAGGACCGGAAGGGATACACTCCCTATGTTCAATGGACAAAACTAACGGTATACCTACAACCGACGGTTAGCGATTGACGATATGTCCTAATTCTAAAGTAAGAATTAACTAAACCACATATAAAAGGCCGTGACTGTGAATTATACAGTAATCACAGACCCATACGTCCAGAGTCAGTCACCAAAACTCACAAAAGAACAGAAAGGCACTGACGAATTTCTATGCAAACTTTGAACGCCCAGTTTGACCTAATGTGAACTAAATGGTGGTCGTGTACCAGAAAACCGGTACCAGCTTACAAGGTTTGAGATGGCGTCAAGAGACGTAAGTGTTTTCTCCATTACTTTTAACAAAGTTTTCGACCGGGCGGATCACATCAAACTGCTATATTTATTTTAGCGGACAGGAAGCATTGAATTGCCCTAAAACTGAAAGGAATGCTTTTTTGTTAACAGAGATGAAAATTAGGATCCACAGGTGCCTTCTGGTGACTGAGGAATACAATCGACGTTGTAACACAAGAGGTTGTTTCGAGACTCATATTTATATAGACTCGTTACAAAGTGGTTTCATTCGACTTATCATTCACGAGTAACATAGAGTTATGTATGGAACTGATGTTACTAAAAATGCGGCTGAGCTGTGAAAGGATTTCAAAAGGTTATCTGATTGGTGTCAGTAATGCCGCCAAATTCGAGCCCATGAAAATGAACACCACGTACGGCACTAAAAGATACGGCAACCTACTGGTGTGGACATCGGCAGACCTGCTCATAATCACGCTGAATAACCACAGGACGCACTCAGGCACCATGCTAGTGAAAACCACACGGCTCCAAACCTTACAGGTGCTCAGGAAATCACGCCAAATTCTGAGTAAAGTCGGTTTTGAAACATTTAGACTTCATCGCACTAACAATGCAGTGCAGAAATCCATCCTGTCTTTTAATAGCCAGATCTGAGGAACAGAAACTGAATAACGATAACCGAATGGTTCCTGGGCTGCAGGCAACGACGCTAAGCGACAAGCCTTTCTTCAAATTAATATAAAGCCCATATTAGGCTATATTTGGCGAACTTGATAGTTGTGTTCAAAGTCACTAAGTTGTAGTGATACCCGAAACTAACCTGTTCTTCCAATCTACAGATGTCACAAAAAGAGTGGATGGCCTACAAAACAAGTGAAATTATGCAGGCCGGCCTGTACAAAGGGTTGCCGTTAACAGTCTGTATCACTGTGTCTTCTTGAACACAATCATTTGTGACTTTTGCGTCACTTTCCACACAAATGAGAGGGCGTAATTCTTACCACGGCTGTGATAAGTGCAACATAAGAGGACATTACCACCAAACTGAGGCTGCGGTTCCATGTGTATCCCACGTTTTGTGAACTTAAATCAGAATTCGTCGCAAAACCTGTAATTATGCGTCTCCAGTTTTCTGTTTCCCCACTGACTTCGCTCACTACTCCTCTATTGAGTGTGTGCACACCATGTGCTTTGGTGTTGTCCATTGTTCAGCTTCCATTTGCATGAAGTGTTCGAGGCATGCGTATCGGACTTGCCTCCTTGAATACGGTAGACCGTATGCTATAACTCATATGGGACCATCAGCCCGTGGATTTTCCGCACAAGTACCGGGAAGTTACACTGTACAACCAATGGAAAGCGACCGAGTTTCGGTAACTACTGTTGTGCATTAATCCAGTTGTTTTTAAGGGTAGTCTAACGGATGGTATCCTAACTTTATCGATCTATGTTTAGCTGTGTATTCGGTTTCCCATCGTCGTTTTTGTGTTTCTTGCCTAAATTTATTGCGACAACTATTGGCGGTACTTGTTAACAAGTTACAGAAAATAAATGGGTTACAGGAGATGGTACACAATGTTCATTGCCTACAACACTTGCCAGACAATGTCTCGTTTCAAGTCCCTCTGGATAAGCTTTCAGCCTTCCATGAGTTGTCTATGTCTACATCGAAACCGACGGTACAAAGTCCTACCTATCTCGTTAGGTAAACGCCCGCAGAACTCAGAATCGCACCTCGTGAACGCCTTAGATAATCGTTTCGATTGCAACGCCGTAATCTCTTTGAAACGTGTGTCGCAAACCAAGCGGGGCCACTTCTATTTTGGAAAACTTGAGCCTTCTACCAGCCCATCAGATTGCGTCATATTGCGTGGCGACTTTTTATGCATTGTAACTGGCGTGAGGCATTCGGACATGCCCAGTTGCACAATGACGTATTTCCCAGTTCTTCCATCTGCTTTCCCCCCTGTTCTCCCATTCAATTAGTTCTCTTGTGCTTACTGATCTTGTGGTTGAATATAGTCAATAGGTGTTAGCAACCGTCCCTTATCTTTAGCCCAATGCAGGTGTACTATGTTCCCACATAATGAAGTGTTTGGCAGCTTCCAGTAACTACACTCTACGCAGTAATACACTTGCTCCTAATTAATTTTTCTCCATTATACAACAAACCACTAACTATCCTGTTACTTCCAGACACACGGTCTGATAAAGGTTTTAGGGGACTTTTGGAGTTGCGGTATGTATATTCTAATGGATTCGTGGAAACTGTGCTGTGGTCAAAGTTTCATTCCAAAGACGTGCGACTTTACTGGGAGCCACAAACGTTCAAAGTCGTCCAGGCCTGCGATGCATCCCGTTGACTGAGTGAACTTTCAAATGATTTTAAGAAAGCACATGCACACGAAAAAAATGCCAATACGCACCTGACATGGACATCTTCAATGCGGCCTTCCATATGGGCCGTAACTTCCCCTGACACAAGTGATACTATAACGCAGGATGTGAAGACTTCTCTTCTAGGAAAATCATGGAGATTCTCTGTTCATTACTTCACTTCTGAAGAAGCCAAAACTAATGGTACCATGCACTCCCTCCTACCCAGAGTTCTCGAAGGTGTGCCCCCTGTCCCATTTGACTCCTGAGGCCACCACTACAAACGTACCATGGTATACTATTCAATGCGAGTATGTGGAATGCGCACCCCACCATTTCGTGTCTATCCCGTCCACATCCCATCAACCAGCACATTTGATACGGCAGATGATGCATCGTCCGCTACACTGTATGGTAAACAGTGTCACCACGGAGATCTCAGTGTTCCTAATGTCCGCCACACAATTCGTCTCTATTTTCCAGTAGTAGAAGGTCGTACTAAGGAGATTCGATGCGATTGCGAACAACATTTGGTACATTAGTATTTGCATCGACCATTCATTGGTGACAGCAAATAATTATGCTGGAACAACCGGCCTTATTTCCCCATTCGGGACAAGCGTGCGTGAGATGGGCTGGAAAAAGACTTAGTAGAGAAACCTTGCCAGCTTGGACTGGTAACTGATTTTTACCAATCTAAGTTAACAATTGCAAACTAAATATTCTAGGTCCTTCAATGCAACCTCCACGAAGGGTCAAGTGCGTTACTGTCTTGGGCAGACGTTGGCCGACGAATTCGTCATCAAAGTGTCCTGTACCGGATCAGTGGACCAAGTGTCCCTCCTCTACACTCGATTTCGCACCGCGATAAAAGGTAAGCGACCGTTTCAAAAACAGCTTTCACCAAGTTTTCAAAATCTGCGCGCGGCAAGGCTTGGGGGGAAATTCAGAGGTAATTCTGTAACGCGCAGCACCAACTAGCCCAAAAGATGCGTCCGGACAAGCCGGTAGGAGACACCGCACGCTTCTACCGCTGTTTTGTTGCTGTTTCAGACTTTTGCGATGAACCAAGCGGTCGTAATGGTCACGCAGAACCCATCGTCTTTAAACTGGGGCGGGATGGGTCGGTGGTTTGAACGCGAATTTACTGACCGGAAGGTTCGTGGTTCGAACCTGACCCCTACCTCCCGACTTCTCCTGTCTAGGCTTGGGCAATCTGGCAGTAACCCAGTCCTCGTGTCTCCTTTGTATGGCATAACGAAACGGTGCTACAGCTGGACGACCATCTTTGGCTGTAAACTAACAAATTACATCTTGCGTTTCTTGTAAATTTGTTTTGTGCCCTGATTTTTCGTTCTTCAAATGCTCTCCGTAGTTCGTGAGAGATGACACTCAATCAATCAAGTTACCAGCAGTCCGAGGATGGCAGTAATTTTCAACGCTACGTCCTCACTTGCACGCGTAATTGGACTGTCTACAGAGAATAATTGCAACAACAACTGGTTCGGAAACCACTGCGGTCTAAAGCCAACGACAGAGGAGGTACCATGTGCCGTATTTAGTGAACCACCAACATCTCCACAAGCGGTAAGAGCGTAGCTGTATGGCTATGTTGCCACCTTATTCGCGAAAATCCACTCGACAAATTTTACGGTTATTCGTCTGGTTACAAGGAAAGATAGATGAATTACAGTTGTGTTGCTGTTCTTTAACCGTAGAAAAATGTTTACAGGTAGTTGAGTGACCGCTCATTAACTGCCTAAAAACATATTTTCATGGTCACGTAGCCTTAAATCCATGTGAAAAAACGTTTGAATAACCGTCAAATGATGTGGTGAGGACGGACTAATTTATGGCGCTGTTGATTCCTTAAGATATAAACGAGGACGTCATATGGGCACTTATTGAACGTTTCCATATTCGGAAAAAATGGTTGTGGAACAGTTATTTTGTGGTTCCATATACAGTGAAATGTCGTCGTTACACTGCTAAATAACAATCTAATAACAATTAGGTAGGGTTATCTGACGGTTGTCAGTCGGTCACTCAACATGGAAATGCGGTTTATAGTTGGTTTTTTAGTTTCAAGATAAATGCTCGTTTGGCGGTTTCGATATTGAGAATAACCAACTGTAAACAATGCCGAAATGCTATCAGGCGGATATACGACCGTCATATACCCTAAAAACCAGACTTCGACAGCTTATGCTGCGGGGATCCAGGAAACATCCAGAAGAACTACTTAACCATGGAACCGAATTCCGTGACGTCCGCAGGTTGCTGTGACATACAACAAGCCCAACTCTACAAAGGAACAACATCGCGCTGGACTCCACAGGCCAAGACCAAGGAATATCTTTGAAACCTAACACTCCGAATGTTGAGAAGGAGTATATAAGGGGGTCACCTTGCTCTACTGTAGCCAACTATCAGAGTGGGGACTAAATGATTCCTCATGGATTCATGGACTGATACATAGAATCGCAGTTTTCACTCAAACTTCAGGGATAAAGTTTGTTCTTTTTTTCAGTGTTTGTGCATGGAAAAACAGTATAAGAACGACCTATGTACAGGAACGACATATCGTTCGTGATAGAAATTACTATGCGCGATATATACCGCGAAATAGCTTCTAGATAAAGTTCGTGCCTGAACAAGCCTACTTCCATCTTAAAGCAACTGATAGCGGTTAGAATTATTTGTGAATAGGTCTGTAACTTGTGCTGGTGCTAGAATTAAGGTCAAGGCAAATAAAAAAAGTAGAAAGATGAAAATGGTCCGGCTGTTCATAATCCCCCGTTGTTACCAGTTCGTTTTCACTGCACATACATTTATCAGCCACAAAAACTGCTATTGGTTTCAATATTATGTGTGGAAGGCTGTTATCAATGCATCAGACTGCTGATTTCCCAGTATGTTAGCAAGTCGACAGTCCCAAATAGCACTTCATTTTTCTTAAAGTTTAATTTCAGATTCATACCTCACTTAAAAAATAAATCAATATATCTTTGGCGGACGACTCACGCCTTGCATATTTCCGCGTGATCGGCACTTCTTGTGAGCTCTAAGATGTGATAATAATCCAGGCCCATTCTATTTGAAAAACGCGCCGCCGGTCACTAGGATCCTCATGTTTGAGTTCATAGAAATGCAATTAGTTAAATCCCTACTTCAGTTTGAAAGCCGAATTAAACGTTGGGCTGCGTGAACTACTCCCTTATGGCCTACCTTGGGGTGTCTGTTTCTTACTTGATTACATCCACTGAAGAAGTCAAAAAAGCATCCTGTGCACTCGTTGTTCTTTGAATTTGCAACAAGCAGCGGTGCGTTATCACATTAAACTATCCCACACTATGATTTTTGGTGGCTTTACTGTCCCTGCAGTGAAATTCTGATCCTTATCACCCCAACGCCTATGCTTTCTCTGTTCCGCCATCGAATGATACCGTCACTCTCGTAGCGCAATGCCTATCCGCTGCAGCCAGTAACGGACAGTTCTACCGGTTTCACGGATTCACGGATTGATACACACATTCCACGCACTACTACCCGAAATGAGAAAAAAGTTTTGTCTAATGAATGTGTGTGCTCTGAGCTTGAAAATTTTCATTCTACGTCCTCGGCGGGTGTTTGCTGGGTCAACGGTAAAAAACCTGTTTGCCAAGCTTTGTTCAAACGGGGTGTAAGTAAGAATTAGGTCCCCTCGGAGGCGACGGTACTCCAGGGGAAAGAGATCAAGCATCGCGAGACGCGTTTCGTAGTCCACGGATTTGAGGCCGGCGATGGTCAATGACCTTGACATTTCGCTCACGTAAACAAAATGCTACGCGCAACATGTCAAGGGAAGGTGCAAATTGATTAGACTAACTTCCCATTAAAATAGCAACTTCGAAGAGCCTATAGTTTCGGCGAACTCAATTTGAGTGTGTCAATAGCCTGCGGCCGGCTATACTGTAATGCGCCATCGTTAGTCACAATCTTTTGTCTACTTTCAGAAGCGGTGTCGATAACGATGTCAGAACATGAAGACATCCCTGAATACCGTACAGAAGAGATCGATAGCCCTTCCCAATGACCAGCACCTTTTTGTGTTTACATGTGTGTACCCCCGCTTTCTGTTTTTGTCAACCCTCGACCCCACGTGTTCTGGGGCTCGGAGAATAAAGTGTTAAACCTAGTCCTTGTGATTCTTTGTGGACAGTTGGCGAGAGTGACCAACTTACTGATACATACAACTAACACGTTGCATTCTCCTTTTTCCGCCCCACCTGGCTGCTATACTCAGAACGTCCACACAGTGAGGTTGGATATTTTCATACACGCAGCCATGTTACAATACAGTCTTGGTTTAACGCTAATAAGAAGGCATTCAGAAAACTGTGGTCCACAACAGAAGCAATTACACAGAGCTTTACATATGAACATAGACCGCTGGGCGATGATCGGGAACAAGCGTACTCCTTAATACACAACATAGGGAGAAAATAATGAGAGAAATGCAGCTACTGAATGCACAACATTATTGACACGAAGCTGAAAACCGAGTACAAAGTTGTCTCTGTCGATTCAACAGTCATAGCCAGCGGCGGGGTCAAGGTGAGGGCTTTTCACCTCCTGAAGCTCTCTTTGTCCACATATGACCAGCTGGTCACTATAAACCATTCGGTTTGCTTTAGCTGGCCCCAAGCTGACCCTCAATTTGCTTCTTTTCGGCCATATACTTAGAGCAGTGGTTCCAAATTTGATCAACAATACGGTGGTCGTCATATCACTTATGCGCTTGCCCATACATACACATTTTGATGACGGAACGCTCTTTCAACTACTGCGTTATATGTAACAACAGCGTAGCGATGGGGTCCTTTAAAGGTCGATCTTTTTCAGTCTTCAATGACGCGTTCATCGGAGAACATCCAATGTACTGTCTGTTTTCTCCGGCAACTATACCTTGGAAGTGTAGGGTACTGACCGGATCACGGAGATAACGCCAGTGTGCTTCAGCAAGGTGGGCGCTTCACCACGGCCACAACCTGCTCCCTCTCAGCGCTCCTGGCA